TGTSTSYACTTAGRGTGCACTTGCAATGYTTGCCTTMAATTGATAACTGAAAAAAYAGGTTGAATTTAYACACTTACTAATTTCCATCCTTGAAAGAACGAACTACACATTGGTCCTTRGACTTGATGTAAACCATGTTTTCTGGACTTGGACTCACTCCCTAYRRTATTAATGGTYATAATATTAYRTAAARTGASTTCCAGCAGTGTCCATYGGGGTGTCAATAGCAGAYATTATAGRTACAAATGAGAMAAGCATTGTATCGACCTGATAGCYYCACTTGTATGATTCTTCAAACAAAAGAATATCTCAGGAGCTAAACTGTAATAACAGCTACCAGTGGTATGCATCCCTTTCCATGAATTAAAATAAAAAGACAAAAGACATGGTTGCATGTTGGTTTTATGACAAAAGACACCRACACCAAATCTTTTGTTAAAGTCACCAAAATGGTAACTATAATGTCACAAGCACTCAAAGAAATGGGTACATCAATTTTATCAATCTTAGGTYGTCATTTTATTTACTTATTCAAGGTAATGATCAAGCCTTACCAATGCAGGAAACCAGTGAGATTTTCTTCTTGTTCCACGTTCAACGACCACCACCTAAAGATAAAGAAATGYATTTGTTTAACATTGGATAAACTTAAGATAGGTTGCTAGAGAAATTAACATAGGGGAAAGGAAAGAGGGAGGGAAACCAGAGAACCCTGGAAGACAACTCTGCTTAAGTACATTATAGTCCTTCAGCAGCATTAAAGTGCCTATCACCCTTCTGACAATATTCACAGTATTGATTCTACATAGGGTAAGAYGTGGAATAACCTGAAAATATTTCATAGTTTGAGTGCGGCTTCTTGAAATYATAAAGGTTTTTCCATGCCATGTGCTAATGCTGTGACGTATGAGGAGTAATAATTTAATATACAAAACATTACTGGCACACATAAATAAGATTTGGAATACGTCATTGTTTTTCCCATTGCTCTTATAAAAATTATTGCACGTTAGTTTTCACATAGAAACCGGTGTTTTGAATTACGAGGAACAACAATAACCATAAATGCCTCCTCATATGTCACAACATTAGCATATGGCATGGAAAAACCTTTATAACTTCAAGAAGCCGCACTCAAACTATGAAATATTTTGGGTTATTCCACATCTTACCCCATGTAGAATAAATAATAATAAATATTGATTGATTGATTGATTGATGATAATCAACACTGAGAGTATTGTCACAAGGGTGATAGGCACTTTAAGAGCAAGCTTAATAGTGCTACACACCATTCATAAACTACAAACACAAGCAAAGAGAATAATTATGAAAAACATGTTTACCTTTCCTACAATGCTGTCATTAAACAAGCATTTCTTTTTAGAAGGTATTGGTGCACTCTCTTCTTTTTCTGACCCGGTATCATCCGCACTGAAAACAAATTGTACATATTTATATCAAACATCAATAARAGCTAGCTTTAGTTGATCTCTATTAGTAGAAAGTTAGAGCCATTTATAAAGTGTTGCTGATAAAGCCTAATTTTGAATGATATCTTAAAGTAACTAAAGAAATGAGAGACTTTGTTTACACAACAATGCAAGTTAAGCTTAGGCAAGGAAAAACAAAACCAAAACATTAAAAGGAGAAATATTGTTACAAAGAAAGCAATGCAATATTTCTATTTCCTTAAGCAGTAATTCTGTATTCTTAAAAATGACTGGTGCTTTTTAGCAAAAATGTGATTGGAAAGAAAAACTTCTGATAAAAAAAAAAAAAAAAAAACTGGAAACAGAGCTTATTTGTTTTGTAAGATGTTTGTCAAAATGTTCTCTAAACAAGATTTGCATGTGAAGATCTAAAAAGATTGTCAAGAAATTGCCTGGTCAGCTAAATTATCTACTCTGAAATAGTTAATAAATATTTAACTTACTTTGAGGATTGTTGAAAACTCGGTCTTCTCTTCTTTCTCTTCTTCCCATTCTGTAAATGGAAWATTTTTTCTAAATATTCACGTTTTCGTAAAGGTGTCATAATCATACCAGCTATATACTCTTCTTATTATTACTTCTTACTCTAGAGGGAAATACCCCTGGATCTTCCAGAAATGATAATTATGGTAGGTAGAATTCCCTTTGTCTGCCATTAGAATACAAAATATTCCTAATCACTTTGTCATTAGTATGTGACCAATCCCAGTTAGCTTGAATGAATAGATTTTAGAACAAGYCTAAACGGAACAAATCCACAAAACTATCCCATGGTGAGAAACACCAAGATGGTACACTTGGGAATTCCAAGGCAAAAAACAAACGGGATAAAGCATGGGAGAAAGAATATACAGTGAGCTATGTTTTGTCATCAATTTAATACTGGTGATATACAGCATGATGTAGTGACTACACCTACACCAACATTTCATTCATTGCTTTTCTTTCTATTTAATGTACAACTTTATTCAACACTTTTMATCCCAAAAAGRTCTAAGAGAYTSC